CTTACCACCTGAGACGTGCTAACTAAGGAGAAAAAAAAAAAAACTGGCTTCCCCTGTCCTTTTTGAATTATTAAGCTTGCTGATGTAACAAAAATTGTAGCCAAAAAACCCCTGCAGAGAAAAAACTAAATAAAAGGCATTGTCTCTTGCTCTACTGTGCTCCAGCTGCAACACGCTGACAGCCTGCAGAGAGAGAACATGCATACTGATGCACTGAGGTCTCTGTCTGTGTTTGTTATTTTCGCCAGCCCTCCACCTCCCTTTTCGGGTACCCACAACTCGACTGGAGCTAGTCTCCAGCACCCAACATGATGAGAACGAATGGGAAATATTCGTGCATAAGTGGCCAAACACTCCATAGGCAAGGGACAAGGAAAATTATTTTTCCCTGTTTATAAAGGGGAAAGAGGCAGCTGTCTGCCTCCCCTCTTAAAGGGTCTCCCTTACTCTATCCCTTTGACTCACACACACACACACACACACACACACACACACAGAAATTCTCTCCAAGAACTGGATGGCCCCACATGTCTCCTAGAGATGTCTCCTTGGAGGTCCCAGACAATGTGTATGAAAATAGCTTTTGTTAGAAATGAGGAACAGTCTCGGTGCAGTAACTTAAGTTCCAACCAGAAGAAACTAGAAAAAGAACAGCCAAATTAACCCAAAGCAAGGAAAAGAAAGGAAATAATAAAGAGAAGAAATCAATGAAATTGAAAATAAACAAAATCAATTAAACAAAAATCTGGCTCTTTGAAAAAATCAATAACATCGACAAACTTGTAGAAAAACTGACAAAATATAAAGAAACAACACAAATCACTAATATCAGGAAACCAGTAAAGAATATCACTACAAATCAGGCAGTCATTAAACAGATAATAAGGAAATACTACAAACTTCATGCTCACAAATTTGACAACTAAGAAGTAATCCAATTCTTAAGAACCACAAACTATTAAAATTCTACCAAAATGAAGCAGACAATCTGAATATCCTATAAGAAATTGAATTTACAATTTAAAATGTTCTGAAAAAAAAGATCTCCAGGCCCACATGGTCTGGCTTCTTTATTTTGAGATTCATCCATGGTGTTTGTGTATCAGTGGTTCATTCCTTTGTATTGCTGAGGAGTACTCCACTGTGTGGCGTATACTACACTTTGTTTATTCCATTCACCTGTTGGTGGACATTTGGGTTCCCAGTTTGTTTCTATTACGTAATGCTGCTATGGATATTCATTTACAAGTCTTTGTATGAAGCTAGGCTTTCATTTCTCTTGGGCAAATACCTTGGACTGGGATTGCTAGACCTTATGGTAGATGTACATACTTAACTTTTTAAGAAACTACCAAACTTTTTCAGATTAATCGTACCATTTTACTTCCCCACCAGTAGTATGTGTGTACAAAGTATGTGATTACATTTATATAAAACCCTAAAATATACAAACTAACCTATAGTAACAGAAAGTACATCATTGTTCGCCTGGGGTGGAGTGAACAAGGGGAAGTGATTACAAAAGGGCGCAGGGAAACTTGGGGCTGGTGGATATGTTTACTCTCATGATTGTGGTTACGGTTTCACAAATGTATCCATATGCTAAACCTTAAATTGCACACTTTAAATACGTGCAGTTTATTGTACATCAATTACACCTCACTAAAGGTGTTAAAAATAATAGGATAATGTTTATTAAATCTGTGTTTCAATAACTGATTATGGCTGAGGTCTCCTGTGACTGACTGGGTGCACTCTTAGTTAGGCAGACTAACCCTAAAGCCATAGCTTTTACTGGGAACTCTTCTACCGACTCACCAGCTGTCACCTTACACAACCCAACTGTACCTTAGTTTCAGGATTGTGCAAGTGAACATACCATTTCCTTCCTATTCAAAGGGCCATTTGATATAATAATTAGGAAATACATCAGTGCAGAATTTTAAACTCTCCCAAAAGTTAATATGTACACTTAATTTTACAGCTTTTGACTGTTTTTGATAAAATGAACTTTGACATTAAAATGTCTTTTCCATCTTGGGCTTCTGACAAAAGAGCCTAAGGAAGAAAAAGGGCAGAGATTATGATTTGTTGAAATGACCCTACCTCCAAGATGTGACATCCATAGATGGTGACAGATAAAGCATGTATGATTTTTTGATAAAATGAACTTTGACATTAAAATGTCTTTTCCATCTTGGGCTTCTGACAAAAGAGCCTAAGGAAGAAAAAGGGCAGAGATTATGATTTATTGAAATGACCCTACCTCCAAGATGTGACATCCATAGATGGTGACAGATAAAGCATGTATGATTAATTACATACCATATAAAAATACCATACAGATGAATTTTTAAAGATCATTGAAGTTGATACATGCCACTTCTACTCTGTATTGGCTGGGAGTAGTTGATCTCATTGCTTTTTCCTTCATCACCATACCATGCTAATTTCAGTCTGTGTTTTCATTCGTGACATTCCAGAGGCAAGGAATGCCTGCCTTACATACTCTCAACAAACCCTAAACATCAGCAGGCACAGTGCCGAGCAAGCACTGGAATTCAGTGCTGGATAAAACAAAACTGACCTGGTTCCTGATGTCCTGAAACTTCTCTTCATCTGTCTAAATTCCCTTCTTCAGTGCAAGGCACACCTTCCCCATGAAGAGCTTTCACACCATTCTCCTGTCTGTAAATCTCCCTCTTCTGAATTACTGTTGCACCGAGTCTGTATGTGCCACATGACATGTATGTTATTTTGTAGCACTCTGGAATTATTCCAGTCTTCTTGTATTTACCTCAGGTGTGGTGTATTCACTAAATCATAATTCCCATTTTCATCACAGCAACTATTATTAACACCATTATAATACATCTTAAGTGTATCTTTTTGTCATATGTTTTCTTGCAAAGAAAGCACTATTTTCTATGCACATATGTTTAACTGTATGTAAAGTATTGTGTTATAGTTCATGTTTTCTTATTTTTCAGTTATCCCCATGCTTCTGGGATATATCCATGTTGCTCTGTATGCATTCATTCCGTTGCTTCTACCAGCTCTACCTCATGGTGTACCTCCATCTCATGTCACTTTCCAGTTTCCCAAGGGTAGCTATTGGGGTGGCCTCCAACTTGCCCAACAACTATTCTACAGTTATTTTATCTATGTTGCTTTAGCTCCAGCTAAACTGTGAACTACTTGTAGATAAGGACTGTTTTTCTTCTCCTGTTACTCCTGTTGATTTTCTATTATGGCCTATACATGTTTTCTGCTGCAAGGTGCTAAACAGTAAAGTAAAATTAATTACAGTAGCAGTAAGGAGTTGTCAATGGAGTCTTCCTGAGCTGAGTTCAATCCTGACTTTATCCCTTACTAGTTTTGTGACCTTGGAAAAGTAACACCTAGCTGCTCCGGGCTTCTCTTTCTTCATCTGTAAAGGTAATACCACCTGTATCAGTGGGCTGTTATGAAGAATAAGTGAATTGACTAAAACTAAACACCCCAATACAGCAAATGGCATATAACAGATGTTTAATAAATAATGGTGGCTATGAGTGCTACCTAGTGCTTCAAATTATAGTCATTTGAACCTGTCAACTCTTCTAAGAGAGTATAAACATCATTTCAAATCCTTCTTTAAATCTGCTCATTACCCAGCACTCTGCTTTGTGTGAAAGAGTCCATACATTTATGTTGCTGTGGTTTGAACATTTTTGACACCTCCAAAATTCATGTTGAAACTTAACCCCCAATGCAACAGTATTAAGAGGTGTGGCCTTTAGGAGTTGATTGAGTCGTGAATGGGATTAGGTATCCTTATAAAACGGCTTAGTGGAGGGAGTTTGCCCCGCTTACCCTTCTGTCCCTTCTGCCACCATGTGAGGACACGGCAGCAAGGTGCTATCTTGGAAGCAGAGAACAGCCTCACCAGACACCAGTCCTGCCAGTGCCTTGATCTTTGACTTCCCAGCCTCCAGAACCATGAGAAATAAATTTCTATTGTTTATGAATTACCTAGTTTGTGGTATTTTGTTATAGCAGCACAAATGGACTTAGACATGTTAAACAAATTACTGTAATTCTTTGGTTAGATTCTGTTACCCTAGATTTTAAGCAGATATTGCTAAAGTATTTTAAAATGTTCTTTTTTCCAAGAATGTAGTATGTGTTAGTATCTTTTTTGAAAGATTCACGACAGTCTTTTATTTTTCATTCATTACATGTTGAAAGCAAAGTTGTATCTATTAAAAAGTAAAATCACAAATTATTGGATCCATGCATAGGATTGATGTTTTCCATTTCTCCCTCCAGTGGCTTGAAAAGTGCAAGTGCTTGTCTCAGTCAGGTTTTTTCTTCCAGATTTTAAAATAAGAGGCATCTGCATCCTGTAAGAGAGTGACAGTAACATAAATCAGACCCTCCTACTACAAGTATTTACCCCAGTTTTTTGACAAAGTCCTGTTTTAAGGAGCTTTATCATCATGATTCACTGTTAAGAATCCTTACAAAACTTGTGCAAATGCTTGAATTAGGCTAAAAAACCATAGCCAAAATTCTAGGTCTACACAAAAATATCTCTAATGAGTTTAGTGTCATCATCTTCTCTATCTGATGTAAGTATCATTCATCAACCCATGCCATTTCTTAAATGCTGAATTCTCTGTTATTCTTATTCTGGATCAGCATATCAAAGCTACACTGATTTGCCCTAATAAATACAAAGAATAGTTCAGGGTATTTAGGATTGGAATTTTGGGGAGAAAACTCTAAAATTATTTGTAAACTTTCAGTATAGTGTTTAAAAATAAATCAAGGCAACTTGATAATCTCTAGGATGTGACATTTTATTTGGGAAGATGTGCATTTACCACCTCCAAGAATTCACAGTAAGAAAGAAAAAATAAAAATAATAATGATGAGGACACAAAATTCAGTGCAGCTATTGTTCTTGATCCCTAAAAATAATAAAGATTCATAAAAACAACGTTCCAAACATACTGTTCCCAGACTAAAGGATAGAAACAAATTTAAATATTGTCAACAAGTACAATTAGCTTGGGATAAGCTATATAGGCATTCTCTTAACTTAGATGCTTATAAACATGTGTCAATAAGGAAATGGATATAAACAATAGAAAATAATGGAAAAGGAGATGATTAATGAGGTAGGGAAGAGAGAGTAAAGTAAAAAAAAACTGAGGAACAATTTTTAAAAGTCTCTATGGTTTTGTGTAGTGAATGAGGTATTATGTCCCAGAAATGACAGAAAATGAAAGAATGCCCAGTTTATCATAAAAAAGAGTAATAAAGCAATAAGACCACAGAATAAGCAACATACAAGAGAACCTAAAAACACTCATGTAAGATTCGTATTATATTTTAATTCCATTTTTCCAGGAACTTTTTGAAGTACCTTTGTATTAAAATTGGTGGTAAGAATAAAAAGGCCATCATATTTTAAAAAGGCTAGATGTAATCAAATGCTAGATTTTCTGACTGACATTTATATTTCACAGTTAGATATTCTATAAACAAAACAAAATAAACTTCACATGGACATTTCTAAAAGAACAACTACAGTGGGATTGGAACTTTCTAGTCCCTGGTCCCTCTTTCCCCTCTGAAAAATTATTTCTATAATGATTCTTTCTCTGCCTATTATTGAAATCATTGAGATTGTAAATTGGTACAGACATTATGCAAAACAGTAGAGAGGTTCCTCAAAAAAATAAAAATAGAATTGTCATATGATACAGTAATTACACGTATGGGTATATGTACCCAAAGAAAATAAAATCAGTATCTTGAAAAGATATCTAGAGTCCCACGTTCATTTCAGCATTGTTCACAATGGGCAAGATATGGAAACAACCTACGTGCCCATCAATGGATGAATGGATAAAGAAAATGTGATATATACACAATGGAATATTATTTAGCCATAAAAAGGAGGAAATCCTGCCATTTGTAACAACATGGATGAACCTGGAGGACTTTATGCTAAGTGAAATAAGCAAGATACAGAAAGACAAATACTGTATCATCTCACTTATACAAGGGTCCTTCAAAAAATTCGTGGAAAAATAGAATTGAGATAATATGAATCTTTTCACAAACTTTTTGAAGTACCCTTGTATGTGGAATCTAAAAAGTCAAACTCACAGAAGCAGAGGGTTGAATGGTGGTTGCTGGGAGTTAGAAGGTGGAGAAATGGGGAGATGTTGGTCAACAGGTACAAATTTTTGGTCATAAGATGAATAAAATATAATTATAACTTGTAAGTTCTCGGGATCTAATGTACAGCATGGTGACTACAGTTGATAATACTGTATTATTTACTTGAAATTTGCTAAGAGAGTAAATGGATCTTAAGTGTCACACACACACACAAAAATATGAGGTGATGGATGTGTTCATTAGCTTGATTGTGGTAATCATTTTGCAATGTATATATACATCAAATCATCACATTGTATATTGTAAACATACACAATTTTATTTGTCAATCATAATATAAAAAAACAAATCTTTGATCTTTACAATATGTTAACTGAATATCCTGCTACCATCAAACACAGGATGAAAAAGAAAATAAAAGCACAACAGCTAACACAACACTCCAGGCTGTGTTTTAAGAGCTTTCCATATACTAACTCATTTAATCCCCATATTATGATTAGGTACGATCGTCATTATTAATCTCCACTTTGTAGATGGGGAGATTGAGATATAGAGAAGTAGCTTGCTTAACGTCATGGGGCAAATATGGGTAGAGCTGGGATTTGAACCCAGATAGCCCAGCACCAAGCTCCATACTCTTAACCAGGATGCTATGTTTCCTCTAGTAAGGTGGCCTTTCCCTGCCAGCTCTTATCTGTCACTGAGCACAATACCACTATATCAGCTGTCCTCCAAATTTAAAACTCAGGCACAATCTTTGATGAAGCTCACCTTTAGAACCATCGCATACTACCAAGTCCCAACATTATATCAAACCACCTATAAACAATTTGGGCCAAAGCAAACTAGTCCACTCCACAACTTGGTAGAAAATGAAAAGCCACCTTCATGATTTTTCAAGCTCTGGACATTTTAGTGTATTATGAAACAGTTTTATAACCTTTGAGTTTCTTTAAGCATTTTGCTGTGTTTTTCTTTTATTTTTCCCATGAGTAATTTTCACTGTTCTGCAGAAAGTTGGAACAAATTAAATGTCTAACAATTATTGGACTGCTTAAATAGGTAGGTTGTATAATGATATGTGTAGTATGATCCAGTTTTATAATTCTCTTTTTCATATATCAATCCCTACTGACTGATTTCTAAAAGAAGGTAGTAACAACGTATACAAAAGGCTTTTTTTTTTTTTTTTTTTAAAGATGACCGGTAAGGGGATCTTAACCCTTGACTTAGTGTTGTCAGCACCACGCTCACCCAGTGAGCAACCAGCCATCCCTATATGGGATCCAAACCCGGGGCCTTGGTGTTATCAGCACCACACTCTCCCGAGTGAGCCACGGGCCAGCCCTACAAAAGACTTTTTAAAAACCATCTGCAGCAACAACTTTTCTTTGCATAATCATAATCTATCATTTTTGGCTTATCTCATTACATTTCCCGTGCTGTTTATACATTAAACTCTTTTGATGGTCACAATTTTTCAGAAATAGTAAATAATATCCCCCACTCATTGCTGTAAGAATGAGTGCTGAAAGAATGAGTAATCACCATAGCTCCTCGGAGATGGGCATAGGCACGTCTCAGATGAGATAGAGCACTTCCAAATGAGGTCAAAGGAACGAGTACTATCCCACGTGTGTGCATCAGTTTAACAGAACAGTAAGTGCTTTAACAGAGGAAAGCACAAGGCTGAGGTGTACCTAGTCCTGGGGGTAGGGAGAGGGAAGGCCAGGCATGACTCCAAGGAGATGACACCTGAACAGAGACTGGTAGGACGGGTAGGAGTTGGTGGGGAGAAATAGTGGGGGGAAAGAGCATTTTGACACATAACGCTCATCAAACAGTAAGTATAGAAGAAAAAGTGTCAGTCTTTGACTTGATTTTACCTTGTAGAAAACTTCTTTCTCCAAGACTGGTAGTAATTTATGGCAAACCTACAGATATGCATGATAGAATACTTTCTATATTTTTTGTATTTATATCATGAGATTGGTGGAAGTTTGTAAGAAAGTTTTTTAAACACTGGAAAATCTTGTGTTTGCCTGCAAGATTGATACATATTATTAAGAAATGTATAAATTAGACTTACCAGACCACTCTTGAAGTTTTCAATCCTTTTCTTCCCTAACTTGCCAGTTATCCACCAGGCCCAGGTTGGCATATATTGCCACAAATATGGCATTGACAAAAAAGGTTGATCTGCAATCCAAACTTCTTTCAAATCATTGGCTATGCTGATTAACATCAGCCGCACACAGCGACTGGTTGCCATCTTCTGGGACTGGTCTCCATTACTTCCTACAGTCTAAGAACATTTAAAAATTAACTGAATTCAGAGTATTTATCCAAGCTGTTACACAGAACTTTTAAGCTAGAAGGGACCCAAAGGCCATCTAGTTGAGTGGCTCCTTTAGTGGAGCTTCACATCCTTTAGGAGTCCCCATAGGTACTAACAGTGATTTATAAACTATTTGTAATATTTCAAAAAGCCTAACAGAAGTCATACACTTACCAGATATGAGTATGCAGACTAATTAAGAAATGAAGTTTCTTTGCTTTTGATTAGAATTGTTTCATCTTAATGTGCTTAATGATAATTATATTCTCATTTTAGATCAAATCATTAAGACATGCATTTATCAAAGGAATTCCCATAAAACATGGAATCCATGGGGATGAAATGGAGGTAGAAGATAAAAGGGGCTTCTTGGTAGTGAAAAAAATGTGTTCCATAAAAGTGGTCACATGATAGTGGCTGCTTATAAGTGGTATCGTAGCAATTTCATTAGCCATTATGAAAACTGAACGCCAAAGCATTCAGAATGTTAAGCTAACCTTAACAATTTTCCTAATGCCATGAGTTAAATTTTGTGAATAATTCATAAGTAGTTCTAACACAAAAATCCTGATATAGAGTGATACAATAGCAATATATAATTAATAAAGCATTCAAATTATTCCCCAACTAGAAATTTTACCTTTGTAACTTCCTCTGTTAGGGAATTCTTCACAATGTCTGATTGCACGGGTCCCGGGCAAATGTTAGAAACTGTTATACCTGGGTATGTGTCAAGTTCAGTTCGGAGGCCATTAAAAAAACCCTAATAGGCCAAAAGAAAAGGCAAAATTAAATACAGACTCATTTCATGATTTTTCAAAATATGTTCTGAAATGCCTGAGTAAGGGACTGGTAGTGTAATCATTTTAATTGTAGGCCTGGAGATAATCTAGAACAGACATTCTCAGCTCTTTCCAGGTGGAAATGGTTCACCTCCTTTGGTAGTGGTGGCTCTTGTCATCAGTAATTTTTATGCTAGGCAAGCAATGGATAGGTGAAAAACTACCCCTGAAGATCTGATACACCCTCCTCATACTAATCTTCATCTCCCCAATCCAAAAGGGGTGCATGTCCTCCATTAAGAATCACTGAGGCCAGTTTTCTCTTTATTCCCCAAAGTGATCTAAAGTAACAATGTCTGAGGCAATGGGGAGAAAAAGGAGATTAGTACTTCACAGAAACTATCACAGAGGAAGAATTCAACTTGTACAATTTATATTACTATTTTAATAGAATGAATTCGTTTCAGCAAACATTTATCCTTTTGGGGTGAGAAGAGGGTACGTGGCTGCTATGGGCCAAATGTGTCCCCCAAAAGATCATGTATTGGAAACTTGATCTCCACTGTAACAGTGTGTATTAGTCTGTTTCTGTTACTTACAACAGAATACTTCAAATTGGGTGATTTATAAGAAAATAAAATGTATTGCTTACAATTTCAGTGACTGGAAGTCCGAAGTCCAGGGAACACACCTGGTGAAGGCTTTCTTTGGTGGTAACTTCAGTGATGGCAGGGCATCACAGTGTGAAAGTGGTGGAGCAGAGAGAGACTAACATCCTCGTTCACTCTCTTTTTAAAGCCCTCAGACCATGGCCACGACCACCATTTTTAATCCTTTCACTATGGCATGGTCCTGAAATCTTATCACCTCTTCAAGGCCCCACCTTTCAATTACCATAATAGAATTTCCCACCCTCTTAATTGTCACAGTGGGGGTCAACTTTTGGGGGACACTCAATCCAAGGTACAGTGTTAACAGGGTGGGAAATCCAATTATATTTGAAAGGTGGGGTCTTTGAGAGGTGATTGAATTGTGAGGACTGTGCCCTCGGGAGTGGATTAACCCATTCAGGTAGTAATGAGTTATCGTGGGTGTGGACTGGTGGCTTTATAAGGAGCACATAAGAGAGCTCTTCCCATTCTCTTGCCATGTGATACCCTGCATTGCCACAAAACCCTGTAGAGAGTTCCTGCCCAGAAGAAGGCCCTCACCAGATGTGCCCTCTGACCTTAGTCTTCCCAGCCTCCAAAACTGAAAAAAGAAATAAATTTTGTTCCTTTATAAATTACCTAGTTCGGGTATTCCATTATAAATGACAGAAAATAGACTAATACCATGGCTAAATGTAAATGTAAAATAAAATGTAATATGATTGCCTACTGAATTACTTTTGTAAAAACAGGCTAGACCCTCTAGACTTAAAGATATTGGCCATTTCTAAATCAATAAAGAATAAACAAATCTACTTCCCCTCATCTCTTTACCTTAATTAGGAATGTTCCAAGACTACATTGTTACAAGGCTGAATTGACTATTGAAAAGCCTAAACAGCTAACCTATGGTACGTTCTATATGATATGACAACATTAAACAGTTACCAGCCCTTAAATGCTGACACCTAGCAAACACAGTGCCTGTGAGGATTCATGCTGTCAGAGACTGACACAGTGCCTGACTCAGAGATGGATTGAAAGAAATGCTTAGTGAAGAAATGGAGAACCCCATACCTTTAACCTTCTGCCCCTCTGTAGCAAAAAAGTAGAGAAGACACCAAGCAAGCCAATACATCAGACACTAAAATCTCTCCTTGTTTGAAATCACATCTAGTACACTGTGTCAACTTTTCAATGATAGATAAGTTCACTCCATAGCTTGCTGGGAATCTGAGAAGGAAATATGCTCTTCAAAAAGAGCCTGCTGATTTCTGTGTTTAACTACTGGTATAACTAGCTAGAGTCTCAACCTGTCACATTCTATCAGAGGATCAAATCCAGCAATAAACAGTGAGTCCTGGAGGGCACACCAGACAGATCATCTGTGTGTTTTATTGAAAGCATCCTGCGTGTCTTATGAGATGCTTGGTGCCAAACAGATGGGGTGGCTGTCCTCCCTCATCTGCCTGCCTGAGGCTTGCCCAACTGTTCTACAGGAAGTGACTGACACCCCGTTACTAAATATGAGGAAATCATCAGTGTAGCATTCTGCTTCATCACTCTCTGCAACCGTCAGCTCTTCACAGCAGAGAGAAGATGTCCTAAATAACCAAAGCTTCAAGTTGTCATGAAGCTCTGATGACCATGCAGCTATTGTATCTCATTATTCCAACAATGAAACATTCTACTTAAACTGACCTTCAACAGCATTAGTTATAAATTTTGTGTCTCCTTTCATCATTCTTCTCCTGTTGGCCTTATGATTTCTTCATATCCACTCTGAAGCCAACATTAAAAATTCATTTCTAATATTTACACATTATAAATTATGCAACCCAAATCAAGTTTTTCTGCTAGCCTCTGCTTTGACTAGATTTTCTTCTTCCAAGGAAACTACAGTGATTAGAGTCAAGGCTTTTCCCAGTAGGGATATGAGGCCCCGGATTAATCATCCAGTGGGCAGTACCTATTTCTGACATGCAAATTTAATTAAACTAGGTAAAAATAAACATGAAGTACAAGGAGGAAGCAAAAGAAATCACAGAAATGGAGGTGGGGGATGAGTACATCCTGAAGTGTGTGTAGAAGAAAGGAGGGGTGAACCTCCAATTTGCCATGAAGGTGTGGAAGGCATGAGGATAGGGTGAAGGGTGACTTACTGACTAGACTATATACTTCTCGAGGGCAGAGACCATATCTTATAATCTTTATATCCGCACAATCTGTTGCAGTGCTTGGCACAGTACAGGTGCTCAATACATGTTTGTTGAATAAGTTAGAGGCAGGTGTGGCTCAAGTTGTTTTTAGCATTTACTGGGGACATCCTCTACCAAAGGGCTCTTGAGTCTTTCTTTCCATCTCCCTACATCACTGCCCAACTCCAATGACCTCACACACTAGGGACATATCCCCCATATACACATCTAGGTCAGTTCTATCAGAGTTGAGTTCGAGCAGCCTTACCTGAAGAGCATGTTTGCTAGCACTGTATCCACTGCCAAGGGGTGCAGATATAATACCCATGAGGCTATTCACAGTAACAATCTTTCCTTGCTTCCTCTCAATCATGTGAGGCAGAACACACTTTGTCAAGGACACTGTTCCTAAGAAGTTAAGTTCCATTAGCTCCTTGTAGACATCCATGCTGGTATCCACACACAAAGAACGCTGGGATCTTCCACCATTGTTGATCAGAATGTCGATCTAGTTATACAAAATCAGATAAGGGGATGTCCTGTGGATAGATTGATGAAATTTCTAGGGATAGTTGGTTATATTGTTAACCTGAAGAATCAATGGAACAATGGTATATTTCTAGAAGTCAGCAATAAGACAATAAAATAAAAACCAGAATTCACCAAAGGAACTAAATTCCCATTTCTAAGTGACTTTTTACAGAAGGCAATAAGTGTCATAAAAATAAAAACAGCAGTGAATTTTTAGCTTCTTTTGTTCTACATGGAAGAATTAGTACTTGTTAAGGTATGAAAAGTACTAGTTACATAAAGACAAAGACTCAGAGATTACGAGGCCTAATCATGGGCCTGATCTCATTGCATGAAAGGGTTGCCTAAAGCCCTTTATTTTTAAAATTTATTTATTTATTTATTTTTAAAATGATAGCACCACAGATGGGAATCTCTTTTGCAGTTACTTCAAAGCAAGACTGTATCAATATAATATGCTACTTACTCTACCAAACTCCTGGAGAACTGCTTTGGTAGCCCCTTCATGGGAACTTCTGTCCATCAGGTCAAGGGGTAAAACGAGTACATCTTTTCCTTTTAAATTGCCATTCTCTAAATAAAGACACTTAAAAATTAGTGTGGAAGTTATGCCATAGTTCAATCAAGATCCTTGCAATTCCCATCAAGTTTAACACCCACGCTACAATAGGAGTTGGCAACAAACTCATTTCTGGGTGGCCTTGTGAAAGTTTCTCTGAGTGACCAGGAAGAGGACTAGTGGTAATACAGCAAAATCTTATCAGACAAAAAGCTGGCTGGCTTCACAGGAAGTAGCATGGCATGCTTCAACTTTATATACAGTCGAACTCAAACTCTGGCAGAAATCAAGATTATACTACAAACTGAAAAAAAGAAAAAATTTAGAGCAATTTTTTTAGAAGCACAGACACATACATTTGTTTTATGATAGGCTCACAACGTTTAGTTTGTTCATTGCACACATTAAAAAACAGTATTTTATGCTTACAATAAGTAAGAAGCTCAAAGCCCTACAGTCAGATGACACATAGAAGCTTCTCTCCAGAGGCTAAGAATTCCAGAAGGCAAAGAAGGAAAAAGAAAATCCTGAAATTCTCAGCCAAGAAACAACATGATGAGCTGTAATAGGCCCCTTCTATTTCTGTTCATCAAGAGAACAATTGAAACTAATTTTCCTGGGCTCTACCTTGAAATACAACAAATAATACCAATAAGAAAAACAAACAAGTATAGAAAATATAAGAGGTATAAAGGCTTTATGGGCAATAAATTGCGAAACATCAACTGTACTAAAAAAAATTAAAAGGTCTACACCAATGACCTGAAAGATGAAAGGAAAGCAATCAGCCTCATGCCAGGTAAGAAATGCTGACATGGTCCATCTACTCTGCCAGTGCAGGACTTGCAAGTCACAGCAGTGGAGGGACAACTACCATAAAAGGTCTACACCAATGACCTGAAAGATGAAAGGAAAACAATCAGCCTCATGCCAGGTAAGAAATGCTGATATGGTCCATCTACTCTGCCAGTGCAGGACTTGCAAGTCACAGCAGTGGAGGGACAACTACCATAAGAAGTGACCAGTGCAAAACCACGAGAGGCCTTTGAAAGCAATATCGTGAAAGAGGCCCTTGTGGCCTTGCTGAGTGCTAACTCTCATTTCTGGGTAGTTAGCTTAATCAGCAAACTTAAAGATTTTAAAAGAATGACAAGTAGAAAGATGAAGAAAAATAGACTGCTGGAAAATTCAAAATTATCTCAGCTTAGGTACTAAATTTCCCATAAGAAATAACTTTATTGTTTGAGGCTGCTTTCGCTGTAAACATAACTACACCAAAACTCACACAAACAGAAATATTTAACACTGTTACTCTTTATGTGAATATGAAAAATATTACGTCGACTTGCATTTTTTAAACCTAAATCCATTCCTGTTCTTTTATCTTATATAATAAAAGTCTTATACTGTCCCACAGACTTTAATATCTAAAATTTGGGGAAAATGAATAAGAATCGTTCCTAATTAAATGTCTGTGGTTACATACATGTATGTCATGGGTAAAAACAAAACTGTTCTTTCTCTAAGAGAAAACTATAAGTCATCTGGTCCCTAAAAGTCCACCAGCATTTGAAAGAACTGGTGGTGACTCCCTAATGCCAAGAGTCACTGCAAAAAAAAAAGAGTAGAAAGGTGGCAGACAAGAAGAAAAGGGCATGGGCAACTAACGAAGAAATGACAAAAAAGAAGAGGATCTACATCAAAGCACTTGGAGCCAAGGTGCACTGCCCAGGAAAATCTCATTCTTTCCTATAAAACTCCCAAAACTGTGTCTGGATTTGGATTCTGATTTATTTCTAGGAAGCACTGCTGCTGCTTTAGACTGACTTACCAAGGCATCTTCTTTTCACTCGTTCCAGCTCATCCACTCTTCTGGCTGACAGCACAAGAGAAACTCCTAGTTTAGACAACTGGTAAGCCAGCTCCTCGCCGATTCCGCTTGATGCTCCAGTCACCCACACCACCATGTCAGTCAGCTCCCATTCTAGCGAGGAAGGAGTGGGGATGGAGGGGAGAGAAAGGAAGCTCTGGATTACACCCATAAATCTAAGATTAGCCAAAAAAAAAAATTTTTTTTTAATTTTTTTTTTTTTTGTCCTTTTTGAGACTGGCCGCACTGCGCTCAGCCAGTGAGCGCACCGGCCATCCCTATATAGGATCCGAACCCACGGCGGGAGCACTGCTGCACTCCCAAGCGCCACACTCTCCCGAGTGCGCCACAGGGCTGACCCAGAAAGGGAAATTTTTACAGAGATTAATTTAGCATCACAAGACTGTAAATCCATTAAGGATGGGACTTTGCCTGCCTGTTCATTGCTGTGACCTCAGTGCCTAGCACAGAGTCTGGAAATACAGAAAGGGTCCCATAAATAACGATGGAATAAACACCCAAGAACCATAGCAGGGCAGGTTCAAAGCCTGCCACTGTCCACTATCCTATGGAACACACATTTAAATATGAGTAATGTTTTAAAAACCCAGTTTAAACATTAGAGAAAATACAATTTGTCCTCAGGAAAAAGGTTTCATGTAGATGTCTGAACTAAAGATGGAAACATCCCAAATACTATGTCTGGGCTACAGTGCTTTCTGGCATATAGTGCACTTTTGTGGAAAAGCACAATTGAGCAACCTAGATGATCACTGGTTCATTCACTGACTACTCATTGTTCCAAAGTTCTGCAATGCTCAGACTCTATGGTGAATAACGTTTGTTTTGGAACTATTTATTAACCAGCCTAGAGCTAGCAAAGATCTTTACTTTTACACCCATAAGCAAGTAGTATTTCAAGCCAATGACGAAAACCTTAAAACAATCACAGCTCTGGCACCCTTCTTCCCACCATGAAGAAGAAAACTTTTTTATTTAGCACCAGCTTTTGTTTACCAACAAAATTGTACAGAATCTGGCATGCATAATGGTTCCCTTAAAGAGCCTCTGAAAGGGCCAAGCCCGTGGCGCACTCGGGAGAGTGTGGCGCTGGGAGCGCAGCAGCGCTCCCACCACAGGTTCGGATCCTATGAGCCCGTGGCGCACTCAGGAGAGTGTGGCGCTGGGAGCGCAGCAGTGCTCCCACCACGGGTTCGGATCCTATATAGGGATGACCGGTGCGCTCACTGGCTGAGCGCGGTGTGGCCGGTCTCAAAAAGGACAAAAAAGAAAAGAGCCTCTGAAAGCAGATTCTCAGAGTTGAAAAGAGACCTACAGTTCAACCCCCACACCAGTTTGAGAATTCTCTCCTCAGGCAGTGGACTAGTATGTGCTTAATTCCCCACAGGATGAGGATAAATCTAATCATNATTATACTACAAACTGAAAAAAAGAAAAAATTTAGAGCAATTTTTTTAGAAGCACAGACACATACATTTGTTTTATGATAGGCTCACAACGTTTAGTTTGTTCATTGCACACATTAAAAAACAGTATTTTATGCTTACAATAAGTAAGAAGCTCAAAGCCCTACAGTCAGATGACACATAGAAGCTTCTCTCCAGAGGCTAAGAATTCCAGAAGGCAAAGAAGGAAAAAGAAAATCCTGAAATTCTCAGCCAAGAAACAACATGATGAGCTGTAATAGGCCCCTTCTATTTCTGTTCATCAAGAGAACAATTGAAACTAATTTTCCTGGGCTCTACCTTGAAATACAACAAATAATACCAATAAGAAAAACAAACAAGTATAGAAAATATAAGAGGTATAAAGGCTTTATGGGCAATAAATTGCGAAACATCAACTGTACTAAAAAAAATAAAAAGGTCTACACCAATGACCTGAAAGATGAAAGGAAAGCAATCAGCCTCATGCCAGGTAAGAAATGCTGACATGGTCCATCTACTCTGCCAGTGCAGGACTTGCAAGTCACAGCAGTGGAGGGACAACTACCATAAGAAGTGACCAGTGCAAAACCACGAGAGGCCTTTGAAAGCAATATCGTGAAAGAGGCCCTTGTGGCCTTGCTGAGTGCTAACTCTCATTTCTGGGTAGTTAGCTTAATCAGCAAACTTAAAGATTTTAAAAGAATGACAAGTAGAAAGATGAAGAAAAATAGACTGCTGGAAAATTCAAAATTATCTCAGCTTAGGTACTAAATTTCCCATAAGAAATAATAACTTTATTGTTTGAGGCTGCTTTCACTGTAAACATAACTACACCAAAACTCACACAAACAGAAATATTTAACACTGTTACTCTTTATGTGAATATGAAAAATATTACGTCGACTTGCATTTTTTAAACCTAAATCCATTCCTGTTCTTTTATCTTATATAATAAAAGTCTTATACTGTCCCACAGACTTTAATATCTAAAATTTGGGGAAAATGAATAAGAATCGTTCCTAATTAAATGTCTGTGGTTACATACATGTATGTCATGGGTAAAAACAAAACTGTTCTTTCTCTAAGAGAAAACTATAAGTCATCTGGTCCCTAAAAGTCCACCAGCATTTGAAAGAACTGGTGGTGACTCCCTAATGCCAAGAGTCACTGCAAAAAAAAAAGAGTAGAAAGGTGGCAGACAAGAAGAAAAGGGCATGGGCAACTAACGAAGAAATGACAAAAAAGAAGAGGATCTACATCAAAGCACTTGGAGCCAAGGTGCACTGCCCAGGAAAATCTCATTCTTTCCTATAAAACTCCCAAAACTGTGTCTGGATTTGGATTCTGATTTATTTCTAGGAAGCACTGCTGCTGCTTTAGACTGACTTACCAAGGCATCTTCTTTTCACTCGTTCCAGCTCATCCACTCTTCTGGCTGACAGCACAAGAGAAACTCCTAGTTTAGACAACTGGTAAGCCAGCTCCTCGCCGATTCCGCTTGATGCTCCAGTCACCCACACCACCATGTCAGTCAGCTCCCATTCTAGCGAGGAAGGAGTGGGGATGGAGGGGAGAGAAAGGAAGCTCTGGATTACACCCATAAATCTAAGATTAGCCAAAAAAAAAAATTTTTTTTTAATTTTTTTTTTTTTTGTCCTTTTTGAGACCGGCCGCACTGCGCCCAGCCAGTGAGCGCACCGGCCATCCCTATATAGGATCCGAACCCACGGCGGGAGCACTGCTGCACTCCCAAGCGCCACACTCTCCCGAGTGCGCCACAGGGCTGACCCAGAAAGGGAAATTTTTACAGAGATTAATTTAGCATCACAAGACTGTAAATCCATTAAGGATGGGACTTTGCCTGCCTGTTCATTGCTGTGACCTCAGTGCCTAGCACAGAGTCTGGAAATACAGAAAGGGTCCCATAAATAACGATGGAATAAACACCCAAGAACCATAGCAGGGCAGGTTCAAAGCCTGCCACTGTCCACTATCCTATGGAACACACATTTAAATATGAGTAATGTTTTAAAAACCCAGTTTAAACATTAGAGAAAATACAATTTGTCCTCAGGAAAAAGGTTTCATGTAGATGTCTGAACTAAAGATGGAAACATCCCAAATACTATGTCTGGGCTACAGTGCTTTCTGGCATATAGTGCACTTTTGTGGAAAAGCACAATTGAGCAACCTAGATGATCACTGGTTCATTCACTGACTACTCATTGTTCCAAAGTTCTGCAATGCTCAGACTCTATGGTGAATAACGTTTGTTTTGGAACTATTTATTAACCAGCCTAGAGCTAGCAAAGATCTTTACTTTTACACCCATAAGCAAGTAGTATTTCAAGCCAATGACGAAAACCTTAAAACAATCACAGCTCTGGCACCCTTCTTCCCACCATGAAGAAGAAAACTTTTTTATTTAGCACCAGCTTTTGTTTACCAACAAAATTGTACAGAATCTGGCATGCATAATGGTTCCCTTAAAGAGCCTCTGAAAGGGCCGAGCCCGTGGCGCACTCAGGAGAGTGTGGCGCTGGGAGCGCAGCAGTGCTCCCACCACGGGTTCGGATCCTATATAGGGATGACCGGTGCGCTCACTGGCTGAGCGCGGTGTGGCCGGTCTCAAAAAGGACAAAAAAGAAAAGAGCCTCTGAAAGCAGATTCTCAGAGTTGAAAAGAGACCTACAGTTCAACCCCCACACCAGTTTGAGAATTCTCTCCTCAGGCAGTGGACTAGTATCTGCTTAATTCCCCACAGGATGAGGACAAATCTAATCATTCTATCGTTCTTCTACTGATGTGAGATGCCTCTAACTTCTGCCAGCCAGCAGCAGTGGGCAGAAGTTCTGCCTTCTGGTGTCAGAAAGAATAAATTGAACCTGTCTGCCACATGACGGTCCCTCACATGTGCAAGACAGCTGTTTTGTCCTCCATAAGTGCCTTGTCTCCTGCTTCTCTAAGGCCACATAAACGCGTCCAGCGTCTGCTACTGTCCCTCACATGACAAGGTGTCAGGCTTCCTCACTGTTCTGCTCACACCCCTCAGCACCCACGCAGGTTGGTCAACGTCCCCACTGAAGGGGGCCAGACAGACCAGGACACAGGATTCCAGGAGGGTCTGGACAGTGCTGAGCAGGCAAGACGATTAAATCTCTTCCACTTTCCCTCAGAAGGTAGGGTCTGTGAGAGCCGGGACTGTGGCAGGCCCTGTCACTGCTTTGTCTCCAGTGCCCAGCACAGAGGCCAGCACACACAGGCGGGTATTCAGGAGACAGCTGTTGTTGTGCACAGTTGTTGCTTCAGACACTAAATGTCCCCAAATGCTTGCCTAATCTTTTCCGCAGCCACTTCACAGTTGACTCATATTGAGGTTACTGTCAACTAAAACCTGAGTTTTCCTCACATGTGCTGCTGTTGACAACTTTTCCTCCTCTGGATTTGTGCCATGGATTTCTCTGGACCAAGTACAATATCTAAAATTAGTCACCCTTAAATTTCTCTGTCTGAGATACATGCTTAGAAATGCAGAGGATTTCTCTAGAAGGATACAGAAGAGACAGGAAATGGTGGTTGCCTCCAGAGAGGCATGCTGGGTGGCCGGGGGACAAGCATGGGAGAGTTTTACTTTTTACCATATAGCATTTTGAATTTAAAAATT